CAACACCAAATGCTTGGTTTATGGATATCTTGGAAACATTCCGAGAGTTAGAACAGATGGACCACCATACTGGCTAATATTGTCGGTCAAAACACAAGATACTGTGAAGCCATACCATTACAGTCCAAAATATTTTAGATATCTTAGCAGCTTTGACAATATTCGTTGACAAATACAATCCAACAAAACTGACATCTGACTGTGAAAGTTCTTTCAAATCAGATGATGTAAAAAACTATCTGCGTTCAAAAAATGTAAACCAATTTTCATTGTCGACCAAAACCATTCTGCTCTTGGTGTCATTGACGGTTGTATAAAAATGTTAAGAGACTTAAACCAACCACAAGGTGGTGAAGCAAATGAAATGTCATATGACGACAAGTATAGACACTTCTCATGGCAAGATGAGACAAGTTTTAAATATTTACAATAGCCGTAAACAAAAAGGTTTGGGAACCACTCCCCCGAAGAAATGAAAACAACCCCGACTTAGAGAAAGACTATATATTTAATAATTTAGTCAAAAGAGACAAACAAGAAAGAATGCCGGGCTTCAAACTTCAGAAAGGTGACAAGTAAAAATAGAAATACCTAAACGCGACCCATATGAAAATACTATTGACTATGACAACAATGGGAACCCGACAGGTACTCACATTCGTGTTCGTAAAAATAGAAGAAAGTATACAAGAGAATATTATGAAGTTTTAGGCAAACATGGCAAAATGTACACACTGCAAGCAGAAGATAAAACTACTATTGTCAGACCTCGTTTCAAAACTTGTCAAAGTTCAAGGTGGTATACTTTCAAAGACAGTTCCTAACAAATATAAGACAACTCCTGACGAATATGCTAAAGAAGTTGAAAATGACGACTAAGCATTTCTATACCATGCGTAAACTGTCATGTAAGGTGGCATGTAGTCTTTACTTTGTCCCGTTGTTTGCGTATATCCTGAAACGCGATGTGTATGGTTTCCTCCTCCCTCAGTGTTACTCCAGTAACAATTTATAGCAAACTTAACGTTGTCTTTAACATCATATCCTTTACCTTTTGTCATTGCTGACCAATCCCAATATCTATGCTTATGCCAACCTGCTTGAGATGTACTTAAATCTATGTAGTGACTTGTGCAGGTAAATTTTCACCTGAAATCGTTTTACTTCCACCTGTTTCCTTTGAAGAGTTTGCACAATACAAAAACCTGTCGACTATTTGAGTCCAAGTTCCAAAACCCAGAACTGTTTCTGGTCTGGTAGAGTTCATTGACGTATAAATAGAGCCTATAGGATATAATGTTTGAAGTATTTCTGTCTTTAATGTTTGAAGCTCTGTTTTGTCTGCTTTCTTGTCTAACATTGCTGGTAGTTCATATGCTTCAAAGTTTCTGGCATGACTTTCAATGTTCCTGCAACTGTTATCTAAATTGTTTAGTGTATCTTTTACGCTTGTACTTGGATTCTCTAAAGGTGCACTTGAACCAAGGTCAAAGTTCAATATTATGTCGTCTGCTGTAAAAGTTGTAAAACTTGTATGTGTATGAGTCTTATTTGCTTTCTTCTCTAACTCATCGTTAACATAAGTTTTATCTGCTTTAAGGTCTAAACATCCTGAAACCCATCCTGTATCGGCTTTAGTTTTTAAAATCTTCGATGTCCGTTCATGGTACCAGTCAACCCTTTCTATAATTTCTTTATCTTTTTCATCCACATATTCCTTATCCGCCTTCTTCACTAACACACTAGCCATAAGTCCCTTATCTACCTTATTTTCAAGGCTAACGTTTAAGTCTGTTATTTCAGATATAGAATGTATATGAGTTTTTTTAGACTATTCGTTTTCAGCTCTTGTCACTTCACTTGACATTTTATTGTCAACATATGTTTTGTCTGCTAGTTCAGGATGAGTATGTTCTTTTGTTGCATAAGCATTGTTAGCTCTTTCTTCTTCTTTTGCTATTGCATCGTCTACATATTCTTTGTCAGCTTTGTTGTCAACATCTGCTTTCAAAAGAAGTTCATTTATAGGTTTCTCGTTTAAAGTTCCTTTTGTTGGATTTATACAGACAGTATTGTTCTTCTTGTCTTGAAACAGAAACTCATCTGTCATTGGGTTTAATGTCAGTTTTAAGTTTCCTTCTTTCAATGACTCAGATATCTTAGAATAGTTTGAAAAGTTTGTTGTGTTCTTATTTAGAGCTTGCATAATGAGTTGTCGGTTGTGTTGTATTTCTCTTATGGAAGCAATATCTTTCGACATTTTTATTCTAGATAAAATATGCTTCCAATAGAAAAAGAAAATTCTAGAGTTGCTACAACTAAACCATTAGATGAACTTTTTACTAATGTCGGTCAAAAGTTTGAGACAGAGACCGTAAAGCATGAAGGCTATCGTTTTGACTACCCATTAAGATGGCTAAGAGACCCATCTGTCACAAAAGCTATTGGCTTTCGTAGAATGAAGTTCATTTCAGAAGCCATACATGGTTTCCCATTTACGGTCGGTTTTGAAGTTCGATACTATAACAAAGAAAAACGTATGTATGAGAAATTTGAACAGGGAAAACTTTTACAAGTTAGTTTGCTTGTAAACTTAGAAACAACTCTTCAAGCTTTTCAAGAAAAAATAAACGACATCTATCTCGAATATGCAAACCAGTATAACATTGACGAAGGAGAGTACCATCTCGATATTATTTATGACAGGAAAAATGCAACTGTTAAAATCAATAGAATAGAAGACCTTGGAGAAAACGTTTATATTTCTACAAAATATAACAACTTGGCATGGTATAGATTTATGAGGATGTTAAATCAGCCTGCAGCATATCCAGTACACCCAGACTTTTATGAAGTCGAAAACCCTAATGGAACATATGAAAATGTTTTCGACCAAGATGCTATTATTGTTCATGCTTCATTTTCTGGCGCCCAAAACTCTTTCTTATGCTTGGCAAATGACTTTTACGAAAAACCTACAAAGTTATACGAACCACCAAGTGGAAGTATTTCAGACTTTCAAGTATGGTTTACTACAGATGGAAGAAAAAGAATAATTCCATTATACCATGCGTTTTTACTTAGAACTTAGTTTCATATACAACTACTATCGAACGGTAAAAATATAATTTTTTAATACGGTTGAGGTGTTGGATTTGGTTGCCAACTAGACTGTGGTGCAGGTTCAGGCTGTTGTATAACAGGAGCTTGTTCTTCTGGTTCAGGGTCTTTAGGTATAATACCAACAAACTGACCTACTCTTTTACCAATATTTTTGACTCCGTTCCAAATTCCTTTTCCGACAGATTTTATTCCATTCCATATACCTCTTCCAACATTTCGAAAGAAGTTTCCAATACTACTGAAGAAACCCATTTTACTATATGTAAAAATCTAATGTCCACCTAGTCTCTTACGTTTCCTGTTGAGTTCCATAGCATTCTTTAACTGGAGCTCATACATTCTGTTTCTCCTCTGGTAGAAAACATATTCTGGGTCAACTCCTGTGTTCGCGTCATCTGCATAAAGTTGTTTATATCCCACTTCAGGGTTTGTATAAAACTCTTTCCATCTCATATTTGCATACCATGGTGGCAAACCTAACGCAGCGTCATTTGACATGGCAGTTTGCATTTGTACATCTGTTGGCACTTGACCATAGTTTGCCATTGCAGTTTGTATTCTAACTTCATTTGGAATATTCTCTGGGTTTGGTTGTCCAGGTTGCTGTGCATTCGCTAAGTTCTGTGCGTCCATTTAATATTAGATAAAAATATCTCTTACGAGTACATATGCTGAACATTTGCAGGCATTGGTTCATCTTCATATTCTCTGTACTTTTCTGCCACGTCAAATAAATAACTGACACAATGGAAAAAACCTAAAACAAGTAGTCCTATTTCAAACCACATTTTACTTACTAATAAAATTTCTTTGTTATGACACTTTCTCCGGTTTATAGGACCTCTCTCATATTCTATCTTGTCATATCTAAACTCATAGTCATGTATGTCCTCTAACCATCTCATAACGGTTTCCAAACCACTTTTATCGGATGTAAAGTAAAAGCATGGATGGTTATGTATAACGTCTAAAGTTTCTAAAGAGTCTCTCAAAGTCCAGTCTACTTGGTATTGAAAATCCCATGTGTTATAGAACGGCGGGTCCACTATAAAGAAAACATTTTCCTTGTCTTTATATTTTTCATACAACTCTGTCCAATAACATCTCACAAACTCTATACCCTCAATATATTTTTCTATGTCCTCTTTGAAAACATTTGTATAGTTAAGATATAAAACATTTGACATAAGTGTTTCAATGTCATGAACTCTTATAGAACCACTATATAATAGTCTAGCAGATATACTATCCAGTCTATATATTCTGCTTTTTTCAAAACCTCTCTCACAATATTTTTCTTATCTAATGGTATACGTTCCATCTTACCTATAGGTATCTTTTCTTTTAACTCTTTCAATATATTGTTTGTGTCTGGTATATGTTTGAGACGGTCCATATAGTTGTCGAAGTCATTGCATATAATCTTTGAGTCTGGGAATATTGTATGGCACAAATGGGATATATAGAAACTTCCACCGAACAAATCTACAAATGTTAGACCATTCGGTAGTTTCTTAAGTTCTCTCAATAGAATATCTTTACATCTACTCTTATTTCCAAAGAAGGGTAATGGTGGTTTTGTAAAATTCATTTATATATAATAATAAAAATGTTTTTTCCTGAAAAGTGACAGAAAAGTGACAAAACATGAAAACATATATAATTTGTGAAAAGCTCCTGGAAGCCCTCCGAATAAAAACTTCATTTATACTAAACATCTTCAGGGCTAGAGGGCACGAAGTGCCTGGAGGCCCCACTACCCTTTTTTTTTTTAATTTAAATACATTACCAGGCATACAATCATTTGGAATTATAAAAGTAATAAAATTCTTGATGCCTTCAAAAGTGCTCTTTGTAAAATTTTCCAAAAAGTGACAATGACCTTGGACCTTCCTCGTTATAATGAACGAGAGGTCTCTAGACAACTTGCACAATTTCTTTCAAACCCAGTTTCAATATGCCAGAAGTATGAACCAAGTAAATGGGAGAAATGCAAAAAGGTTGAGAATTTTATCTCAATAACATCTAGAGTTTTCATGGTCATTATTTTCTTGTCATGCACAATTTCATTGTTAACTTCAATCCCATACGAAATTGCGAATAGAGTGACAGCGTTAGATGAATTTCATGAAAATATTCGTGAACAGTGCATTAGGGACTATATGGAAAATCAGTGCAATACAACGCAAGTTCCTGACTTGATTGCATACTGCCAGCAAAAATGGAATTGTATTCACGAACCTTTTGTTTCTTCTACACACTGCGGAATATTCCAATATATTTTAGATATTCGTAACGCGTTCTTTAGCCAACTTACAGTAAGATCATCCGCTCTCCTCGGTATGACCCTCGCCTTTTTCATATTTTTCAGCTTAAAGCGTACAAACTTGTTATAGATATAGAGATCACCTTATATTAGTTTACCCTGTAAAATTTCTTTTATTACTTACTTATTATTTTTTGAAAAAATTTAATTGTTTTTTCATTTATTGCAAAATTTAAGGCACAATATAGTCAATTTAAACTTATTTCTTGGATAGAAAGAAAATTCCCTTAATAATCCAATCATTTTTCTCAATGCAATGAGTGAATATAAAAAAGGAATTCAAAGCGATAAATACTTTCAAGAAAGACTTATTGAAACAATCAATTTTCAACAAAGTATTGAATACTTCGATCATGATGAGGAAGAATCAGAAGATAGTCCATACGATTTATTAAATGATCTAAAATTAATAGTCAAAAAGCTCCCACTTACAATGAATTCAACAGACCTTATTACAATTAATGATATTACCAAACAAATCAAGGCAAAATATCTTCCAGATGATCTCGTGGAAGAAATTGTTCGCACGTTACCTCAAACAACAAACCTGCAAACTAACTCATTATCATTTGAATTACTATCTCACATTACACAATCAAAGCAAAAAGCATTAATTGTGTCTAACTTGAATTATATGCAAGATCTCAACTACGAACATTTCTCTAACTTGCCACATGAAACAGCAAAGCATATAAGCTACATAGTAATACGCTTGATAGATGTATTTGGAGAAAATTTAGAAATTTTTTATAATTCTTTTTTCCCATATTTCTTGAACTATATTACATCGAACACGTTCTATACTAGTAACTATATCGGAATTCATCTTGAATTATGCAACAGATTTGTTAAAATTTGCTCTCCAGAAGAATTATTAAAATTCTTTGAAACATTCAAGCTTTACTGTAACCGAACTACAAATGATTGCCTCATACCATCTTTGCACGGTATTACCTTTTGCTTTGCTCAAGATCCTGATTTGGTTTATCAAATTAAAGATTTTATAGATCAAATCATATATTTATCTACCAGAACATGCATAGAAAATACTATTGATTCTCAAGAAGTTAGATCTTCTGCTTTCGTCATATTTGAGTTCATTTTAGTTCAAAATGGAATCAAATGCGAATCCAAAGTTTATCAATCGATTGCATCTGTTATCCACAAGTACTTAGATCCACAAGAAAAGAGAACATGCTCAGAAGCAATAAGATTACTAGGCTATGCCGTTTCAAACTCATGTTTTATTAGATTTTCAAATTACCAAGAAATTGTTGAAACCTTTCTTTCTATTTTCAATGATTTAAGTGTTGAAGACCAGAAGTCATGGATAACTACCTTAGGAAACATCATCTATTACCTTCCATTCATTTTCATCAAATCTTTATTCATGAGAAAAGAATTTATTGAACTCCTTGATGATTGTTTTGTGTATAATAATCCAATCATTCAAACAAGACTTTTGATTGCAACTCATAACATTTTGCAAAGTTCATCAGAAGTTGTTGAGTTTATTCTCAACGAATGCAACTATCTTGTCGACACAATAAATTCTCTGAAAGAATCCGAAGACAGTGAATTCATTGGTCTTGTGAATGTCGTATTAGCTATCTTTGATAAAATTTCTCGTAGTTAAAAATAAATTGTTCATTTTTATTTCATTTTTTATATAGATACATTTTTAAGTCTGCATATTAAACAGAAAGCCTACATACTACCTATTATAGAAGCCTTTAATTTGAATATGATTGAGATTTTTAGCTAATTCACATGTGCTAAAGCTATTTTACATCTTTATTAATACGTATACAACTATAAAAAGAAAATCTATATATGTTTAATAAGGATGAATATTTTTCAAGAGGATTTTCCTATAATAATGGTGTGAATTAGTAGATGTAGATTATGAAATCAATTTATCCTGATTAAGAGGAAATATTGTAGCAGTAAATTATGTTACTGTACAGAATAATCAATTGAAACATCGCAATAGCATCAAAAAATAATTTTCAGATTTTATTGAAACAAATAAATAGAATTTAGACACGAGAATATTGGTATATTTCATTGTGGGTAAAATATTTATAATAAATAACACGATCTTTTAATTTTTCACCAATTTCGAAAAAGGTAACTAAACTCCTTTCGCCGATCCGATTTGCCCCATATTTAAAATATAGCTTGCATATGTAGAAGGAAAGCTAATTTTGAAGTACGCCCGAAATCCACCAATAGGATTTCGAGCTACTAAAAAGGTACTTTTAAATGTGATTTTTTTTATAAAAAATTAAATTTATTTTAAGATCAGACTAAAAACTAATTTTATGGCAAATCTATATCGACAAATTTATTACTTATTGGGTATATAGATTTTTTGATTATGGCGATTATGTCTGATATGCTTCCAATAAGCCAAAACAGTGTTTTTGGAGTGATTAAATACAAAAAAATCTGGCGATGCTTTACGTGGCAAATGGTCGAATGGTTATTACCCCTTACTATTGAGTACCGGGGACGCTAGTTCGAAACTGATGCACTATATTTTTTTACAAAATGCGTTTATTAGGACAGGGTAAAGAAAGGTTGCCAATATAATATATTTAAATAAATACAACTAATCTAGCATAAAAAAACTATTGAATATTTGAATTCAATAAAAATTTATATAAAATACATGTAAAGCATAAATTACTATATAAATCAAGCTGTATTTTGTTTTAAACACCGATTGTTTCATATAATATATATTCAACTCAAGTTTCTAATTAAGGATTTCATATAAAATTTAGCATATGATCAGCAACAATTAAAATTAGTATTACAATTAATAAATTTAGTATAAAAACATATAGATTTAGTATAGATTTTATAGCTGTAATAAAAGAACTATTATAAAAGAGTAATTTACTGAAATGCACCTTATATTTATAAACAAAACTTATAACGTGTTAGTTACATATAGAGTTGAAATTCATAGATAGCATAGAGAAGTTGGGATCTTGGCTTAATGGTCATAATATAACCAAATTAATTCAAAATTTGAAATTTTAATATTACTGTAACTATAATATATGGATATGTTTTATGAGATCATAATAAATGGCATGTTAATGTAAAATTTAGAATAAAAAATTATATTTTTTTTAAAAAAACATTGCTCATGAGTGTTAATTGGAGAAGTAGTAAATTAGTTCAGTTTGCAAGTGATGATGGTTAATCTAACTATAATTACAATCAATTTTTAAAATCTTTGATTTATTTTGGTGATAATTAAGAGTGCAGTTGTTCTATTTATAAACTATTTACTATAGACGGCACTGGTGATAATAAAAATCAAGCAAAAGCGCATCTGCTGTTGCTCGACTGCATAAAAATTGTAGTTAAAATTTGAATACTTTACATAACTCATTTGTAAGGTAAATTAATATTATTAATTTATATTAAGAACAAATAAATATGAAATGTATTTTTTTCCAAAAAAAATTAAGAAAAATGCCCCCTAATTCTTGAATGATTTTCGGGAAAAATAAATACGAAAAGAGAAATCATAGCTGCCAGACAACCATTATATGAAATTCATTCAGTTTACAAAGTTTAATTTCTTTCCACAATAGTACATAATATAGTAGTATATTCGGAAATATGCATGCTCGATATCTCCAATTCACATCTCATGCATCTTATCGGAGATTAAGTAACTTTATCTTGAAACTAGAAAAGTAATTAGCAAGTAGAATATATAAAAAATATAATGTTGTTTTATATTGATAAAACCATAAGAATGGCTATTCTAGAATGAAATTTTAGTACCTATATTCAGTGAAAGGTTTATTTGTAGTTGAACTTTCAAATGAAAACTCAAGGATCCAAGAATTGAATTGCATTAACAAACCAATAATGAAATATGATATATACATATATATTTTACCCATAAAAATAGAATTAAATCGATATTTAACTCAAATTGTCAAAATATCAACAAAATAATTTATAAATAGATATATATATAAGAGAAATATGTGATTTTGGTGTTTAAAAAAGAAAAATATTGCCCAAACAAGTGTTCTAGCTAAAAAGGAAAAATGCATTATTTCATATTTCAATATCAATGTTAAATATTAAAATAATCTGCCATTATTCAGACAGTTAAAAAATAAATACACTATAAGTTTAAGCTTTAGCTGTAAAATAAACATTATATTATATAGTCGGAGCGATTCTATATATGTACTCTTATGCCAACTAGTTACAACCTAGTAAAATACATGGAAATATTGTAATATCCTAGCATTGCTATCGAGAAATCAAAAAATATAAGCAAAAGTCATCTTATATTTAAAGATTTTTCAAGAGCTTTGTTTGGAAATTAGTTCATTGGAAGAAGTATATAGATATGAAAACCCAAAGTATTAAGTTCGATAATATATAGTTTTTTTTTTATTTTAAAATTGAATGCATACAACATTGCTCCTCTGGAGTGAATTAATTAGTTCCAACTTTTTCAAGATTCTACAGTGTAATATGCTCCTTGGAATGTCTCTTGCATGAATGTTTTTGTTTACCATCTAAAGAATTAAGATTTGAGATACAATAATCTTTGGAAAAGTAGAGGATACAACAATAAAGTATGTTCTTTCGATACATGATATCATTTTGTTACAAAAATATTCTTACTTACTCATGATTCAAAAAAAAAGGTTGCAGACATACTAAAATGTTATTTATGTGGCTTGTATTTACTAGCATATGTAATTTGGTGCTAACGTATACCATCAATTTCATTATAACACAGACATATATATTACTATTAGAATTTTATTTTAATTCAATGATAAAATCAAACATTCCTTTTTGAAAATCGTTCTATCTTGTTATTATCTTTGAATGCTGCATCAAGAACTAACAATTTACAATTTTTATTCAAATTATAATATAAAATTATAGCATATTGGTTTTCAAAGTATGTTTGCTAAAAGTAATTGCGCTTATCGTTTACCCCCGCATTAACACATATAAATTTGTATTAAAAAATGATATCAAATCAAAAATATGGCTTCCTTGCTAAGAAAAGCGTCAAATTTATTATGTTTCTCCTTAGCCGAAAGTGTATAAATTGGCAGTTAGATTTATAGTATCCTAACTGTTTTTTGTAAAGTTCGTCATATCTTTAATGGTACTATTTCAGCGTGTACAATGAATACAAAAATTCTAAGAGTGCCACATAAAATAGTACTTTAGACTTGAGTTAATGCTACCAAGCAAATGTTAAAAAGATGACTTTAGTGTTTTGATAATCAAAGATTAAAATCATTATTGTCTAAATCAATAATCATAACGACAGAAGTTAATGTTTTTTCATCAGTGCTTTAAATCCACTTTTAAAAGTATACCTCAAAAATCAAAATATCAAAAAAAAATCTAGTTTTTATGAATCTAAAGCTTTCTATAGTTCACATGCAAAAACCTTTAGTTTTATACTTTTTTATGGTTTTCATGAGACAAAAAGTTATGATTTAATAATTATTTTTAATTTTCCGCTGTTATCAACATAGATGACAACTTCATACACTTAGTTATCTAATATCTTGACTATTACACTCCTTAACCCCCAACATTCAAACAAAAACCTTTACGGATGCCTAATATGAAATTTTCTTTTTTAAAAGACATTTCTATCAATAAATTATTTCTGGTAGTTAGACAAAGACCATTTTCTAAGTTGTTCAGAACTGTTTTCGTGCAAATTATCTATGAATGGGCTTAACAAGTTTAATCTGAAAGTTATTTCCAAAACAGAAATGCATATACAATCAAAAGAATATATATTTATGCCAATAATTGATGCTGATGTGGTTTTGCAATTTTACAGTTATTCACATATCATTATGCATTAAATTTTCATATTTGCTTATTTTTCTATCTTTTATCTTATGTATGATGAATTTCATAACTATTGGATATGATTTCATCATTCATATTGCATATTTCCATTTTGAAATTTTAGGAATCTTCAATTTTGGATGGATGTTTATAAAGTAGCTGTTGTAAATGGAATTTAAATTAGTAGTGACAACATTTGGTCATAACAAAATTGTATCTTGTCGATTACAAAAAATTAATTTCAAAATAATTTCTACAAGTGAAGCAAAAAGATATTAAATATCATTACCAATTCTATTCTAGTATGAAATTATAGAAAATATTAAGTTTATTTTATTCAGATTGGTCTGACATTCTCTCAAAAAGTTAATGAAAGTTAGTATACATATCTTGGGTACGGAGGCACTGCGCGCCTCCTTACCCATTATATGTGAATTTGATACTTTACAAAACCGCTAACGTATATTTTACAACACAAACGCAATATTAATTTAACCTTAAATATTTACAAAGCCGCCAACCACTTCACCTCACTAACGTTTTCACTAACGACTTTACTACTGTAAAAAATAAAAGTTCTCATTTACAAAAGTATTGCAACTCTTCCCATTGCTTTGCTTCACACAACAGTTCATATTCTTCACTATCGCTGCTGTCACTCAAATCGTCAGAGTCAAAGTCACTGTCAAAATAAATGTTAGTAAGTTTTGACAAAGCTAATGAAACACGCTTACCGTTTGTATCTATTGCTTTTATATATCTCCCATTATGTTTGTTGTCGTAAACGCTCAAACTAACTTTACCCTTTCTCCCTCGTATCTGATAGAATGTATTTTCACGAGGAACGAAGAACAAGTTCTTGAACTCATGACCGTTGTAGTTTGTTATCTCAATAGTTTTCGTCATTTATATAAAAATAAAATAAAAATAAAATAAAAAATAAACTTAAAAATAAATGATATCACCACCCTCACACGTATGAAAACATAGCACAAAAATAAATTTAAGGTAGATGGGTATATCTAACCCGATTTCTAACCTCATTTCTACCCTGTTGAATTCATTGCTTTATAACTCTCTTCCTTGGTTTCTTTTTAGTTGCTTTCTTCACGTCTGTCTCCAACTTGACTGTCTTTCTTCTTCGTCCATAATGATACCAGTTACTTCCACCAGTCAATGGGTCAAATGGTCTTTCGTAAGGGTTTCCATACATTCCATAGGGACCATACGGAAGAACTACTGGTGGAAGTTGTGGAGAAGAAACATTTTCTTTAGTTCCATCGACTCTATTTAAATGCATTGTTTCACCTTTCATCTGGTCATTAAAGTCTTTTGCGTGTTTTGCAAACTCATCGTCCTTTCCTAAAGCATTTTCTGACTCAGTCGCAACTAAATTGGATGCTTTATTTATGAGCCCTATTTTATTTAATCTTAACTTCTTTGCAACCCAGCCTCCTATCTTTCCTTTATTTGCGTCTAATGTCTTCGAAACCCTTCCTCCACTCATTTTATTTACTGCGTCATAAGCTCCAAGTGCTTTTGCTCCAAATGCTAATGCTTTTGTTCCCATTGCGCCTAAAGCTGCCCAAGCTACCATTTACACCATATTAAAATCATCTCTCTTCAATATTATCTCATAAAAGTTCTCGTTACTGGAGAAAGTCAATGAAACATAAGCGTTCTCACGGGCTTCGCCCTCACCGCTTTGCGGTCTATCTAACTTCTTTCTTATCTCATCTATACGCTTCAAAATGTCTGAACAATTGCTAACATCTTCTACAACAGTTATTTCATCATGAATGACCTTCAAGAACAAGCTCATTTAATATGCAATTAAAATCATCTCAATAATGAGTCCATCCTTTCCGTCTTTGGGTAGCACAACATCTTTCCTTGAAGAAGGTTCGACAAGTCTTATATTAAACTTACTGACAAAGTTTGTTATACTATAATGCTTCGGCGGCGAATACATATAGTTTGAAAAACATAATATAGATTCTTCAGCAAATTCACTTATACTGGATTTTATAACAATGTTCTCACGAGACCAAATACCACCAATTGACAATCTTGTAAGCAATCCTGCTGAACCTTCAACTGTAAACGTCGATGGTAACATTCCACGAAGGTCATCTATATGACATCTTTGAGTCACTGAATTTAAATATTTTCTTAAAGCAATCGTCATTATATAACCATGCAATAGCTTTGAAGTTTTCATTCGAATATACATCTGCTTCATTAAATGTAAAACCTGACTTCTTTGCAGAGACGACTTTAAAAATCTATTGTGTTTGTTTCAAAATTATATGCTATGCTAACTTCTGAAGGTAATGGATGTCCTTCCGCAGTAAGTTGTTCTCTCACTACCGTTTGAAGCTTTGTGTTAAAAACTTTCATGTCATCTCCTGTGTCTAGGTTCACATACACAGCAACAGGAAAACTATCTTGCTTCTTTGTTTCATCATTATACCTCAAAACATTAAAGTTCTTCAATAATATTGTTCTTCCTGCTGGAATACTTCTAACTTGTCTTATTTCAATAGCTTTCTCACCTCCTACATACTCTACCCAGTGTCTTGGATATTCATAAGTATACTGACTATCTTGAATTTTGGTAGGTTTCATCATAACGTGTTCATAGTATATCTTTATACTCTTGTCAGTTAGACTCGGTGCTATGTTCTGAATATTTCTGACTTGCATTTTTAATGGAGATAAAATGAAGCATTTAAACACAGTGAAACATGAATGAAAGCATGGAAAAGCAAGCTCAACAGTTCTCTCATTCTTCCTTTCAGTAAGGACTATGAGTTCTGTTTCAAATGGTGTTATTATCTATTGTGAAAGATGGGGTCAGGAAAGACATTTAACATCATTCGTCATATACTCATAACAGAGCGTTTAGGAAACGACTCTTACTATGACCAAATCATTATATCAGCAACTTCAGACTCTATGGACTCAACAGCGAAAACATGTATGTCAAAAGTTCAAGCCTCTGTCGTTAAAGTTCCAGACAGTGAACTCATTGAATTTCTTCAACGTTACATTCGACGTAAGAGGAAATATTATGCCATCGTTGAATTTATACAGTCAGGAATGCAAAAGACTTCTGAGGAGATGGAAAAGAATTATTGACAAACACCACTTACGTCAATACTCAGGAGTTTACGATATGAAACGACTTACAAACTACATTCTGTCAAAACTTTCAAAATTACCCCTTCAAAAAGTATCCTTCAAACACTCTGCTCGTTTGTGACGACTTCGCCGGAAAAGGTTTTAGTGTTCAAAACCAGACTCACCATTAGCTAACATCATTACTAAAGTCAGACATTATCACTTAACTGTAGCAATACTTATGCAAACATGGAGGTTTTTAGCTTTAAACCTAAAACGTCTCATAACTGACTTCGTTATCTTTCAAGGTTTCTCACGTTATGATATTGAACTCATTTGGGAACAGTCAGGTATAACATTACCTTTTGAAGAAATTTGGGAAGCATATAAGTCTCTCATCTCTCCTCGTTCATACCTTGAGATTCATATCATGACTAATACCATTAAAGTCAAAAATATTCCATGGGAACGACAACATTGTTTTAAAGCTTAACCTTCAATTGACTGATGGTAAACAAATTCCATGCATCTCTGTCGCCATTTCTGTTAATATTTTTGCTGTCATTCATATCATCCACTTCCCCATCCGTTAGCTTTTGAGGATATGTGTTAGAATAGCTGTTCTTAAATGAAGGCTTCTCTCCCTTGAGAGCATAAACTCTATAACTTTCTGCATACTTTATGTTTGAACCTCCTGAGCCATCATTGACATAAATTTTTATAGGCTTCCACCCTTTGTTCATGTTCCTGCTTTTTCCCTTAGCTCTTTTGTTCAGTAGTTCTACATCTTTATACACAGCTCCTGTCTCAGTGAATTCAACAATATTTTCATTCGTTAGCTTTACATTCAAACCCTTGTCGAGTATATTGTTCATTTCATACATATAAAAGGTTTTTATTCTATATGAAATGAGAAGCAAATCCATCTTAGCTGGTGCCGTTAATGTTCCAATTGAACCAACATCAAATGTTGACTCACGAACGACAAACAATATTGTCATAAAGAACTATAGTTCAGAGTGTTTGAAAGAAAAAGAACCAGAACTTAAGTCGGTGAATTTAAACTCAGCTTCAAACGCTAACGCTACATCAGATGTTAAGTTAGAGTATCCACCTCCATTAGAGCCCATAATTTCACGTGAAGCCAACGACAACCCTTACACAAATGTTCAAACAAATTCTTCAGATAACGTAGACCATTACCTTCTTCAGTTGTATCAAACTATCTTACTCAAAGACGATAAGAAGCTTTTGACAAATCTTATAAGCAAGAACCAAATAATTCTAACAAAGGTGGACCTTGAAAATGTTATATCACGAATAACATGGAAACAATATGTCATTGACTATCTCGACCCTGAAATCGAATGCTGTGGTCAAACGCCAATATTCATGAAAATAGGTAACATCCGCATCATTGAAACACCAGGAACTACAGGAGTTGAGTTTAAGTATAGATATTCGAACGAGTATACAAAACTATCTACTGACTATAAGCTTTGTTTGAAATATGTTTTAGTAAATTAAAGCAGTCAGTCAGTCAGTCAATGACTGACTTAGGTTAGTCAAAAAAATTTCAAGTTAGCAATTTGTAATATCTATCCAAAACTTCTTCAACACTATTGAACTCATCTTCATAATGCAAACCTAATCTTATTGACTTGGTGCAGTTTTCACTAACACAATATTTTTCTGTTCTCTTGACTGACATAACTAATTCATTTGTTTCATCAAACAGCAACAACCAAAGTTCATGACCTAATACATAACATTCATACTTTATATTTTTAGCTCTGAGTTCTCTTGTAAGCTGTTGCATTTAATATTTTCTAAAAAGTCAACTTCAACAGTCATTCGCACTGGTGCCTTCAGTTCTACAGGCTCTCCTTGAAAGTCAACAAGTCTGAATTGCATGTCTTTCAAATTATGAGGACTAATGCGAACCCATTTACCTAAATGAGTTGCTATGACAGGAACGTTTGGAATGAACATTGAATTTACTTCATAACAGAAAGACTTATATTCTACTGAACCTTTACTATTAACTCCTGAAATACCTGTGACATTAGCTATTTTTGACTCAATGTACAAACAATTGCCATAACATACGTATGGAACAGATTTCATCTCAATCGTTTTGTCAACACTTTTCAAAGGAAATGTCATATGGTATGCTCCCAGAAGCAATTGAACTCTATGACTTATTCGTGTTATCTTAAACTCCTTCGCATAATTGAACTTCAAAACTCCTGCAATAAGTTTAACATTCATTAATTTTTCTTCGTTATCCTTGTTTATTGTAGTATTTATGAGAGCATTTAACACTCCAGCTAATGTTTCCATCTTATATTCTACATTATTGTGAAATCTTATTTCGTGCTTCTTTCCATCTATTTCAATCTCTATGAAATCTGTTTCATCTGTTATGACAAAAGTTGCGATAGTATTGAAGTCAACAACTCTGAAAGCAAGCGCTTCATTCTGAAGACCTAAGTTTGTTTGTAGCTTTACTGTCCCGTATTCGTTTGGGTCTGTACTTTGCAAATAGAACAACATTTTATTCTCATTAAAATATGACTATTGCTGCATATGCGTATGAAACAAATGAAGCAAGAAGAGCACACGAATTAGTAAATGAAAACTCAACATTAACCATTGAAGGCAATGATTTAGTCATTGACGATGGAAAAACTAAAAAAGTCATTGATTTCGATACTTTTAACACTTATGACCCATTCATTACAACAAGCAAGGTTCCCATCATAAATGATGTAACGGTGCAATATATAAATTCAACAGTAGCTGCCTCATTAGTGAAAGTACTGAATGTTCTCATTGAATTACTAAAGAGCTTCCGATTTGACGACAACATTAAATGCTTAAAGAATTTAGTCATGAATGAGAAACAAATTCTCGGCGTTGCTGGTAGCAGTAATGATGTACACCTTATGACATTAGAATATTATAACGAACATAAAGATGAACTGAAAGGAGAGAAGGGTGACACTGGACCTCAAGGACCACAAGGAATACAAGGACCTCAAGGCGAAAACGGTTTGGATGGTGAAGATGGAAGGGATGGAAAAACTGCTAAATCATGGATATGGGACCTTATAAATACTGGTTTAACAGCTGCTTCATATGGATTTCTTCAATACCAAATCGGAAAGATATGGGCTGTACTTGGTGAAGAAGCTTTAGATGACGTCAAAGATGCTTTGAACTTCATTTCAAATGGTTCTGATACTATTAAAACTTTATCTGGTTGGATGCAAGAAACAAGGAGTCAAATAGATACTGTAAGACGTATAGCAAACAATGCACGTACGGGATTGGATACTTTTACGAGAAGCACAAAATACACTAAAGGAAGCAAATGATATTCTTGGCTCAGTATCAGACATGCATGAAGATTGGCTTAAAGGTATTGACAAATTTAAAAAATCACAGTCAGTCTATTGCTGACTACAAGAAAAGTATAGATTTTTTACATAGTGCTATGGACGTACATGATGGAAGCATAAGGAACTTACTTAATGCTAACAATAACTTACCAGGAACTATTAAAGCATTTATAAAGTCCTTTGTAAAGCCTGGTGCTCTAACATTTAGGTCTTTGAGAGCAAGAGCATTGAAGTCAAGAGATGCAGAAACTCCAACAGAACCTACAGAAGGAACTGAAACAACAGAAACTCCAGAGGATCCACCAAAACCAACGGCAAATGAAATATTGTTCGAATATTTTCCAAGATACTCTGTCCTCATTGCATACATTCAAGAAATACTTAAGAAAGCTGACTTGACTTTGGGGGATGATGAAAGTTCTGTATATCTTTCGTTCCAATTCCAAATAGCAGAACTTTTGAGACAGATATGCTTAATGTATGACAACATCTCTGATTTCACAAGATATGACGACGACCATGACCCCGAACACGGCGAAGAAGAAGTTTTACAAACATCCATTAAGACAGGAAAGGTTTTAACTCAAAGTATCATTATTGACACCGAAGATGGCGAAGTGGACGTTCTTCAAGAGCTGAAGAAAAATACTTCTTCGGGAGGTGGTGGTAGGCATGAACTTGAAATAAATGAGATAGAAGAGAAATTAGCCGAAAAAGCAGACAAAAACCATGTTCATTATATAAGTTCAGATGAACAGATTATAACGGATTATCATGGATATTTAACACGAACTGAAGAAAGAGTGAAGACAAAAGATGTTAATGAAAGAAGATATAAATACATTCGTGCTGAAGGTTATGACATACGTTGTACTGTACAGTATGACACAGGTAAAGCACCAGAAGCATTTGATTATAACGATGAAATTTATGCTTCATACTTCTTTGTTAACGGTGTATTAGTTGAACCAAGATTTATGTTGAGAGTTAAGGCAAAAATAACTTTTGAAGATGCTATTAAAAGTAAAGCTGACAAAGATGAACTTGACGCAACGAACAAAGTTTTGAAATCTCATAAACACAATATCTCCGATATAAATGAACTTCAAGCTACATTAAATAGTAAAGCTGACAAGAACCATACACATGAATCCTTCACTACTGTTAGAGCAGACGACATAATATTGAACTATACCCTTGGTTCAAGTGCACCTTTAGAAAATCCAAGTACAAGCGTAAAAGATACTCTTAATAGTTTAGATAGTAAATGTATGAACATTGAAGGTCGTGTCAGAAACTTTGAAACATATGAACTACCAGCAATGTTAGATAAAAAAGCAGATAAAGAACATACACATAACTCCTTCTCAACTGTTGCTATAGAAAGTATTGAAGGAACGGTTGGCGGAACTGGTGGGGATGCATTATATTATAAACCTCCTAACTTTCCACAAGGTTTAACATCGAATGAAAACATAACAACGAAGAAAGACATTAGCTGTAAAAATGTTTATGTCATGGATGATGAAAATAATGTTAAATTCACTGCTCAAGATTTATATGATAAGAAAGCTGACAAAACAGAGCTTCAAACATTAAAGACTGAAATACTTCAAACATTATATCCTATAGGCTCTATTTATACGTCAATGAACTCAACAAATCCAGCAAGTGTTTTAGGTTTTGGTACGTGGCAGCAGATTGTAGACAAATTCTTATACTGTGCTAACTCTTCAAAGCAAACAGGAGGCTCAAAGAAAATTAAAGAAGCAAACTTACCTGCGCACACTCATACAGGAACTACAAACTTTTCTGGCGACCATAGCCACTCATTAAGAGACCACCCATTATACAACTCAGACTATGAAGCTGGCAATGAAGTTTTATCTCCATCTTATAACAATTCAGCAAAAAAGACTTTTCGACCAACTGAACCAGGAGGAAATCATTCACACACTTTCACAACAAATCCAACAGGTTCGGGTGCAGATTATATGCCACCATTTATGACTGTATTCGCATGGTACCGTCTTGAATAAAATCTTTATTTTTACATAAATGAGTTTAAAAGAAGTATTCGAATCATCACCGTGGAGGTCATTTAAGAAGTTCAATGAAGCTGCAAAGAGTTGGGGATTTACTAACAGAGCTGAAGTGAAAAGGTTCTTTGACAAAAATGTTGTACATCAAACAAAAATAAACCCTTACGACTACTTTTTACCAATTTACTCCAACACTCCTGACGCATACCAATTTGACACTCTCATTCAAAGCAGAAAAGGAGGCCATAAACCTTTCCTCATCTTCATAAATGTTAACACTCGTAAAGCATATGCATATCCAATGAAAAATAAAAGAACTCGTGAAGTGTTAAGAGTTTTACAAAAGTTTGTAGCAGAACATAACCCAAGTACTTTAACATCAGACCAAGACGGTGCATACCTCAGCAATGAAATCACAGAATTTCTCATTAAGCATAACATAACTCACTACACTACTGAAGACCACAACCATAACATACTCGGCATCATAAACCGCTTCATAAGGACTCTCAGAGATTTAAATCAAGAGCGAGACTTTACCGAAGAAACAATGAAACATTTTCTCGAAGTATATAATTCCTCAACGCATTCTACAACAGGACATACACCAAATTCAATGACACAACAACAAGAAGAAAAGTATATACAAAAGAAACGAAGTCAAACACAAAATATCAGAAATTCAACACAATTTACCCTCATTCCTGGTACAAAAGTTCGTGTAGTTCTTGACGACAAACCGTTGACAAAGAAACGTTTAAGGTTAAGTCGAAACTATTATATAGTAGATTCAACGCAAGGTAATGGATATCTTATAAAAGCTGCTGACGATTCGATTGCGTTTTACCCTCTTCATAAGTTAGTCGAAAGTAGTAATGGCAAACTTGCTGAAACCATTGACGAAGCAAAGCGAGGAGTGGTTATTGAAATACTTGGCTATAACATAAACGATGACACTTATAAAGTAAGATATGAAGGAGGCGTTGAAGATGTTATACCATCTAAGAACTTGAGAGAGTCGAAGCCAACACATCTGGGACCATTAGAGCGGGAGTACTGGAAAGACAAAAATATGCCAGAAAGAATAAGAAAATTCTTCTAAACTTTTTCATTAGATGTAAATCAGACATGAACGAGAACAGTCATGATATCATTAATGGTACCATTTATTTTAACATAAAGACGCAAAGCGGCGGGGCATAGCCCATGACCAAAAATAATTTTTAGGGTAGATGGGTATTTCTACCCTCATTTCTACCCTCATGAATTTTCATGAATTTCCTTAAAATAGAAAAAATAAAGTTAGTTTTATTTTTATTTATTTTTTTTATTTTGTATAAAAGATATGATTTCAACAATCGGCACAACAACAATTCAAACAACAACAGCACCAAACTCGTTAGTCATGAATCCAACATCTATGTTAGTAGAGATGAAAAACTTCATTCCTTCTTCATATAGTTTTGGAACAGAAATACAAAGAATAAAGCAAGAACTTTTAACAAGTAATTTAGACTGTACCGCACAGGATGAAGAAAATGAAGAATATCTTTATGACATGCAGGACATTATTGACCATTTACCCAAATTGCCTGAAATCCAGCAACAAAAGCTCACTATTCCTGAATTCGATAAAATAGAAGTGAAACCAACTGACTCAGTAGAAATAAAGAAGTTCATACGTAAAGTAAACTATGAGTTTCTAGGATATCATTGCAACCATAAAGTTATGGACAAAGATTGCGACATGGTATATAAGAACATCTCTGACATATATAAATCGGAGGAGTTTAAGACATACGACAACTTTGTTTCATTAGTTGCAAAATGTGTATGGCAGATAAGAGATAAAGATAGAAGAGGTAAAGTATGGCATGAACAGATAAAACCAGCAGCTTTTGAGTTAAAGAAAACCATTGACGCCTTAGTTGTTCTAGCAGGTCAAATTTCAATGTATAACGCAAAAATGAATCCGCAATGTTCTAAATGTAAAGCAGCAATGAGGAAATATAACTACTCCGTCAAAGAGATAGAACGAATGAGAACGACTATGCTGACTTAAAGAAAGAAGCAGAGAAACCAGCGGAAAATAAAATGGACATGTTAGCATTTCTGAACAAAAACTATCCAACTGCTGACGATTTCCTTCTATCTGACTTCAAGAAGAAGTATAAAGAAACCTTCGACATTGTTAAAACTTTTGATATCCTCAGCGAAGAAATAGAAGCTACGAAGCTGTTTAGAATCTCACGAATTCATAACGTTTACCATGTGAAACGTTTATAAAATAACTGGGGTAGAAATGAGGGTAGAAATTAGGTTAGATATACCCATCTACCCTAAAAATTATTTTAACATAAATGACCAAAAATAATGAATTTCATTAGTTAGAAAAATAATGCTAATTTTATTTTTTTCTAATTTTTTATCTTGTATGTAAGAACAGAAATGTCAGTCGAAGCAAAAACATTCACGAACAAATCTAATGGCGAAACATTCACAAAAGGCACTTATAACGGTATTGAAGTCTTATGTAGAGACAAGGATGGTTACATTAATGCAACAAAGATGGCAAGAGAAGCAGGAAAGTTAAACCATTTAAACAGATTTCTCAATAGTGCTAAAATGCAGGAAATTCTTGAGTTTTGGTTGAAAGAATACGGTCAAGCCAAAAGTGGCTTGACATCAAAACAAGCATTTTATGAGCTTACTAAGGGTGTTATAAATGAATTCAAAGGTATTTACATACATCCTGACCTCGTTCATTTTGTTGCTGAATGGTGCTCTGTAAAGTATGCATTTTATGTCAAAGATATTATGGACTCCATAGACAAGAAAGTTCATGAGAAATTAGATGAAGAAGAACTTGAAGATAAAGTAGAGAATGCTAAACCTTTGTTTGAAGAAGAAGTTAGAAAAATGTGCGAAAAACAATTAGAACATGAACGTGAGATATGTTATGGTTATAGAGATTCTCCATACGAACTAGACCAATGGGAACAAGAAGATTTAAAGAGAGAATTTAGAGAATATGAACTCGCTAAGATAGCATTAGAAGCTGCAGAAAAGAAGTTAAAAGTTTGGGGTCGTTTTGTACAAAAATATTGTGAGTAAATGAACCATTTATTTTTGTCATAAATGACCAAAAAATAATGTTTATGTTAGAATGTTAGATCTAACACGTTTTCTAACCTCTTTTATAACATGGTCTAAAACTCTCGAAAATCATGAATTTTTGACATTTCTTTAAGACAGAAAAAATAAAGTTAGAATTTTTTTATTTATTTTTTTATTTTGTATGTAAAGACAGAAATGACAACATTAGAGAACACAACAACTGCTATCGTTCATGAAGCCATAAATGAAGAATACGAATACATACAATATAACAAACAACTTCGCCTCATTCGTTCTGTCAAAGACGATATGTACCAAATGCAAAGTATAATGAACGCTCTTCGTTCTACAAAGCAAGCATATCATTGGTTTGAAAACCAACAGACAAAAGAACTTTTAGAAGAATTTCCTCATATGATTGCTTCCCTCGGAAAACCGAGAGAAGAGATTCCGTATGAAAATCGCAAGAATTTGGCTCCTGGTTTGAAAGGTTATTATGTTCATAGACTTTTAGTAAATGCTGTAGCAATGTGGGCTTCACCTCGTTATGCTTGTTATATTTTCATGATGTTAGATGAACTATATAAAGCAGAACGTGAAGATATGGAAAAGAAACTTCAAGCAAAAGATGAAGTCATTGAATCCAAAGACAAAAGCATACAGAAAAGAATACCACGTTCAGTACCAAAAGGAAAGAAAAAGAGTTATAAGTATATGATATATACTGAAGAGTTGGAGAAAGAAGAAGACAGAGATATGGTTATGTTGCATTTAGTGAGAAGAAACAACAAGAGCTTTTATGACTTAGCTAAGATATATAAATCTGACAGAAACCGGTTCTATCGTGAAAACTTACCGATTTCAATGACACCGAATGAGCAAATAAAGGAAATTGTCAAAAATACTCTTCCTCAAACACACTATGACATCAAAGGTTGCACAATACTTACATTCAAAGAAGACTTACCGCTACTGAAAGAAAAGATAATAGAATATTTTGACAACTTCAAAGAGGAAGAATAAAAAAAATCTAAGCTAATTTTATTTTTTTATAAAATTTTATCTCATATGAAAGAACATGAATTTAGAATATTCGGAACTCATGACAGAAGAAGAGAACGAACAACATGTAAAAGATTATGCAAAGAGGAAGAATAAAAAAAATCTTCATCAAAAATGTAACAAAATCAATGTTGTGTGAAATAATTGCATATTTCATGCAATATAGGGTGTCCAAAGGTGTGTTTAGCACAAACCTGAATACTGCGAATAGAAATAAACAAGTTACATATATATAAAGTTTATTTAAATATAATCACCATTGGATTCAATCACGCGTTCGCAGCGATCGATCCAGGCTTGAAAGACACGCTTTAAATCATCATGAGAAAATTGCTCAAATTGCTCTCTTACAAAATTTTCAAGATCATCTGGACTCGCGAATTCGCGTCCTTCAGCTCTCTTTTTTAGCGTGCCGAATAAATAAAAGTCAGAGGGTGCAATATCAGGTGAATAAATTGGGTTTGGAACAACTTTGACATTGTTTTCCAACAAGTAATTCATTACCTTATGACTTTTGTGAACTCTTGAATTATCAAAATGAATTGCAAACTTTTGTTTTTGTTGTTTGGATTTCTCAAACTCATCAGAATTGATAATTTGAGTAAGAACATTGTCAATTAGATACTGAGCATTCATCGTATTAGGTTTTTGAAGAATATCAATTGCGATGATGCCATTCACGCCCCAAAAAACCGACAACATCATCATTGGTGTGTCAATTTTTTTCTTCGGGAATGTTTGCGGATTTTCATCCTTCGGGATCCACATGATTTTGGCTTCTGTTGCATATTGAAACCAAGACTCGTCCCCTGTTACTAAAAAGCGAAACTTCTTGGATTGATACGCACCCAATATAGAGAGGAGCTCTTTCGAAGATTGGACTCTAGATTTTTTTTGAACTGAATTAAGGTTGTGCGGAACCCAACGTGTATACGCTAGTTTGTAGTTCAAATAATTGTGCAGATAATAACTGACTGTTGTACGTGGTATCTGTGTCATCTCCTCTATCCTTCTGAGTGATGCTCTTGGGTCTTCATCTAGCGCTTGAAGAATTGCTTTGATTTTTCTTTGATCCGGCGATTTTTTGTCAATTTTTATGATGGGCGCCTTTTTGTTCATGAAGTGATACATCCTAACATGATACGTTACAGTGGAATAGCTAGGAGCATCCATACCGAAGCATTTTACCAAGGTCTCGTAAATTTTTTTACAGTCTTTGCATTTTTTTGCAAGAGCGAGGATGTTTTCTTTATGATTCATTAAAAAAATGAAAAAAATCCCGCCAAAATTTCCCGCGAAACCGCCTCTTGTCTCAAAATTCATTTTATATCCCAGCATGGCGCCAAAATACAACATACTCATCATATACATATATTCATATTTTTTATTATATATTTATAATCAGCATATATCTCCTTTAATAGTCTCATATAGAGCGCTGTGCTAAACGCACCTTTGGACACCCTATATTTTAAAAAATTTTATCTCATATGAAAGAACATGAATTTAGAATATTCGGAGATGACAAATATAAAACTTCATCATAAAAAGTTAGTATGGTTATCTTGGGTACAGCGGCACTGCGTTCCACCTTACCCAATATAACGGTTTGACACTTTACGAAACCGTTAACGTATATTTTACAACACAAACGACAACACCAACTTAACCTTAAATATTTACAAAACCACCACCCACTTCACTTCACTAACGAACTCACTAATGTAAAAAATAAACGTTCTCACTAACGAACTCACTAATGTAAAAAATAAACGTTCTCACTAACGAACTCACTAATGTAAAAAATAAACGTTCTCACTAACGAACTCACTACTGTAAAAAATAAATGTTCTCACTATCGTTCTCACTAACGACTTCACTAATGTTCTCATAAATTTTCCTCAATATCTTCATCATCAGTGTTAACTCTATTGTAGTCATACTTGAAGTCATAAAGTTTCTCTAACTTCTTAACGTACAATTTACATAACTTACCTTCGTCATCGTATGGTTTAATGATATAACTATTTCTATCTTTATACACAGTCAATGAAAAGTCAACTGGTCTCGGATGTATTTGAAAGAACATGTTATGCTCAGGAAGGAAGAATAAATGTTTAAATGTATGTTTGTTATACTGTGGAATTCGAATGAGTTGCTTTTGTTCTGTCATTTATATAAAAATAAACTTAAAAATAAAATAAAAAATAAACTTAAAAATTAATGATATCACCACCCTCACACGTATGAAAACATAGCACAAAAATAAATTTAGGTGAAGTGGTGAGATCTCACCTCTTTTTTCACCTGTTTTTTCACCCTGTTGAATTCATTGCTTTATAACTCTCTTCCTTGGTTTCTTTTTAGTTGCTTTCTTCACGTCTGTCTCCAACTTGACTGTCTTTCTTCTTCGTCCATAATGATACCAGTTACTTCCACCAGTCAATGGGTCAAATGGTCTTTCGTAAGGGTTTCCATACATTCCATAGGGACCATACGGAAGAACTACTGGTGGAAGTTGTGGAGAAGAAACATTTTCTTTAGTTCCATCGACTCTATTTAAATGCATTGTTTCACCTTTCATCTGGTCATTAAAGTCTTTTGCGTGTTTTGCAAACTCATCGTCCTTTCCTAAAGCATTTTCTGACTCAGTCGCAACTAAATTGGATGCTTTATTTATGAGCCCTATTTTATTTAATCTTAACTTCTTTGCAACCCAGCCTCCTATCTTTCCTTTATTTGCGTCTAATGTCTTCGAAACCCTTCCTCCACTCATTTTATTTACTGCGTCATAAGCTCCAAGTGCTTTTGCTCCAAATGCTAATGCTTTTGTTCCCATTGCGCCTAAAGCTGCCCAAGCTACCATTTACACCATATTAAAAT